CAATTTCAAGTAAAAAAAATCATAATTTACACTAACGAATGACAAATGAAAGAATTAAAAAATGTTAAATTTAGGTGTGAAATTAGTTTTGCAGAGATGTGAAATTAGTTTTACAGAACTGTGTGAATAGCTTATTTTGATGGTGAAAGTGATTAGTGTCCCTACTTATTAAATTTCATAATGTATTTTTTCTCATAAATGTGACATAATAACCTGTGAAATGTGTAATTGCCGCATACTCATGACAAAATATTTGGATAACACATTGGTATCTAATGAAGCTAACTCAGTTAAAAAAAAAACAATTATGGAAGATTTTACATTCACTAGAATAGTTATTGAAGATTATAGAAGAAAATCCTATAATTATCCAAGATTTCAAATACGCTAGAATGCTTAACCAATGCCAATTTCAAGTAAAAAGAATCATAATTTACACTAACGGATGACAAATGAAAGAATTAAAAAATGTTAAATTTAGGTGTGAAATTAGTTTTGCAGAGGTGTGAAATTAGTTTTACAGAATTGTGTGAATAGCTTATTTTGATGGTGAAGGTGATCAGTGTCCCTACTTATTAAACTTCACAATGTATTTTTTTCTCATAAATGTGACATAATAACTTGTGAAATGTGTAATTGCCGCATACATGAGAAGACAAAATATTTGGATAATACATTGGTATCTAATGAAGCCAACTCAGTTAAAAAAAAACAATTATGGAAGATTTTACATTCACTACAATGGTTATTGAAGATTATAGAAGAAAATCTTACAATTAACCAAGATTTCAAATACGCTAGAATGCTTAACTAATGTCAATTTCAAGAAAAAAAATTTCATAATTTACACTAACGGATGACAAATGAAAGAATTAAAAAATGTTAAATTTAGGTGTGAAATTAGTTTTGCAGAGCTGTGTAAATAGTTTATTTTGATGGTGAAGGTGATCAGTGTCCCTACTTGTTAAACTTCACAATGTATTTTTTATCAGAAATGTGACATAATAACCTGTGAAATGTGTAATTGCCGCATACATAAGAAGACAAAATATTTGGATAACACATTGGTAACTAATGAAGCCAACTTAGTTAAAAAAAAAAAACAATTATGTAAGATTTTACATTCACTAGAATGGTTATTGAAGATTATAGAAGAAAATCCTATAATTATCGAAGATTTTAAATACGCTAGAATGCTTAACCAATGCCAATTTCAAGTAAAAAAAAATCATAATTTACACTAACAGATGACAAATGAAAGAATTAAAAAATGTTAAATTTAGGTGTGAAATTAGTTTTGCAGAGGTGTGAAATTAGTTTTACAGAACTGTGTGAATAACTTATTTTGATGGTAAATGTGATCAGTGTCCTTACTTATTAAACTTCACAATGTTTTTTTCCTCATAAATATCACATAATAACCTGTGAAATGCGTAATTGCCGCATACATGAGAAGACAAAATATTTGGATAACACATTGGTACCTAATGAAGCCAACTCAGTTAAAAAAAAATAATTATGGAAGATTTTACATTCACTAGAATGGTTATTGAAGATTATAGAAGAAAATCCTACAATCATCCAATATTTCAAATACACTATAATGCTTAACCAATGTCAATTTCAAGTAAATAAATATTATAATTTACACTAACGGATGACAAATGAAAGAATTAAAAAATGTTAAATTTAGGTGTGAAATTAGTTTTGCAGAAGTGTGAAATTAGTTTTGTAGAACTGTGTGAATAGCTTATTTTGATGGTGAAGGTGATCAGTGTCCATACTTATTAAACTTCACAATGTATTTTTTCTCAGAAATGTGACATAATAACCTGTGGAATGTGTAATTGCCGCATACATGAGAAGACAAAATATTTGGATAACACATTGGTACGTAATGAAGCCAACTCAGTTAAAAAAAAAAAAACAATTACGGAAGATTTTACATTCACTAGAATGGTTATTGAAGATTATTGAAGAAAATCTTACAATTACGCTAGATTTCAAATACGCTAGAATGCTTAACCAATGTCAATTTCAAGTAAAAAAAAAATCATAATTTACACTAACGGATGACAAATGAAAGAATTAAAAAATGTTAAATTTAGGTTTGATATTAGTTTTGCAGAGGTGTGAAATTAGTTTAGTAGAACTGTGTAAATAGCTTATTTTGATGGTGAACGTAATCAGTGTCCCTACTTATTAAACTTCACAATGTATTTTTTCTCATAAATGTCACATAATAACCTGTGAAATGTGTAATTGCCGCATATATGAGAAGAAAAAATATTTGGATAACAAATTGGCACCTAATGAAGCCAACTCAGTTAAAAAAAACAATTATGTAAGATTTTACATTCACTAGAATGGTTATTGAAGATTATAGAAAAAAGTCCTACAATTATCCAACATTTCAAATATGCTAGAATGCTTAACCAATGTCAATTTCAAGTAGAAAAATATCATAATTTACACTAACAGATGACAAATGAAAGAATTAAAAAATGTTAAATTTGGGTGTCAAATTAGTTTTACAGAGGTGTAAAATTAGTTTTACAGAACTGTGTCAATAGCTTATTTTGATGGTGAAGGTGATCAGAGTTCCTGTGATCAGAATTTTTAGAGCCGGCTCCTTGCCAAGCAAAAAAAAAATAAAAATAAAAGAAAAAAAAATAATGGACAGCCGGCTCAAGAAGAAATGTGGAGACGGCTCAACCCAATTTTTTGGAGGCGGCTCAATTAATTTGTAGAGCCGGCTCTTTTGGTCTTTTTCAGAGATGTTTAAAGATGGATGTTTAACGGAAGGCAGATTTAACGGAATAATGCATTTTGCACCATTTTAGTGGAGCCCACAGACATATTACAAACTGAAGCACACGTGGCCAAACTAAGGCCTTTCATCAGTTCACAACAGGGGACTGTAGGGTAACTCACAGGGGATTTGAGCCCACTGAAAGACACCTGTGCTGCGCCCAATGTGGACTGATGTGATCTTTTACAATCATTGCCTTATGGGACCAATTGAAGGGCCCATTGCTGGAAAGTTCAATCTTTAATTTTTAATTAACCGTGTCAAAAAATTCAAAATTAATATAGTAATTTTAAATTGAGTTGTATTTTAATTTTTTTTTGAACAATAAATGCCTCAATTTTTTCCGATTGAATTTGGATATCACATATAATACGTAAGTAGGTGAGTACAATTGTTTCACACATTGGATTTAAAAATTTTTTTTTTTCCTACTTGGATTGATTATTGGAGTTTCAAAAAATGGGATTCAATTGACAAATAGAAAATTTTATATTACTGTTTAAGGAAATTTTTTTTTTCTTTCTTGAATTTATAACAAATAAAAAATATATAAAAAAGTGCGTATAGACTATGAATAGAGTACTATTGAATTTTGAAGGTAATTTTCTTTGCTAATCACCTCTAGTAAACCATAAACAATATTTAAAATAAAATTTTTTTGGGGGTTTAGCTTCAATTTTTCTCTACAATATTATCATTAATCACCATAAGTAGCTACTATTAATAGAGTTCAATCAAAGGTTAAAAAATTTAACAGGAAAGACATGGACAACTTCAGAGCATATGAAATATCATATCTAAATTCAGAAACATTAAAAAAAATCCATATTTATATCAAAGGAAAAGGTTGAGCAGAAACAATAGCTTGTAAATCTTTTATCATGCTTTTGACGAGCAATTGCAGACAGGGGCGGCTCAATCTAATTTGGGGCCTTATGCAAAAAAATAAAAAAGTGGCCTTTTTAAGAATCTAATTTGCGTTAAACGAAAAAAAAAGTAGCCTTTTTAATAATATAAATAAAATTAGTCCTAACTCAAAAACAAAATATACAAATATATATACACCCAAATTATAATAACAAAAGTTAATAAAATTAAAAAATAATTAAAGAAAAAGAACCATTTAACCTGATTTGGAAAACCCAAATCCAATACTTCTACAAATTTTTAATAAAATAAAAATGTGTTAATAATAACTGTAAACTTGTAATGAGAGTGAGAGGAGAAGACTTATTCAAAAGAAAAACATAAAACATAATAAAAAATAAAATAAAATAAAATAAATAATGAAAAAATTTCGTCATTTTTCCAAACAACATTTAAATAGATATTTAATATTTTACTGTTGGTGTATCTTACCCAAAATGTTTTTAGTGCTACTCTAAAAAATACGAATGAGAGAGAAAGAAAGAGGGAAAAAAAAAATTTAATGATACAAATTTTTAGGGCCTAAAAGTAAATTTTTATATTGGTTTTATTGTAAAACGTGAATGAGAGTAGAAAAAAGAGAGAAAAAAAGTCATATAAGAAAGTAAATCTTTGGAGGGTAATATTAAATTTATGTGTCAATTAGAGTTCAACATAATGAGGGAGAAGAGAGAAAAAAAAAAAAAGAAGTTAAATTAGAATATAAATATTTGAGGTCTAATATAAAATCGGAATGAATAAGGAGAGATAAAAAAGATAAAAAATAAGTTATTTTAGGATATAAATATTTGAGGCCTAATATAAAATCAAAACTAGTGGTGAATAAACAAAAAAGTTATTTTAGGATATAAATATTTGAGGCCTAATATAAATTTTTTATATTTATTAGAGTTTAATAATATTAGGAAATAATTATAGTAGAACTTAATATAAGAAAATTTTAAAATTTTTGGGCCTTCCTATTGGCTGGGGCCTTAGGCGACTGCCTAAGTCGCCTAAGGGTCGAGCCGGCCCTGATTGCAAACCAAGCAGTTGACATGGAACCAAGCTGTTGATCATATAAAAGCAGGATAGATAGCATCCCTTCAACGAAACCAAGCTGTTGACATGGGCATAATGGTAGTTCCTATTCCTATATAATAGGTAATATTTCACCCCTTTAAATGAAGAAATTGAAATTTCATGTGTCTTGATGTTATAAACAATGTAATTTCTATGTAGGTTTCTATTACAAAAGATCGCCAACTCTTCATTTTTAAACCAGCCAATAGGAAACATGCTAAACCATGCGTAATAATTATTGCGCCGAAGCATTTCAATACGCATGCCACTTCCACCTCCCAAGTCAACTTTAAAAAGACTGGTCCACTCTCCTCCTGTCTTTAAATCTATCAATGCCCAAACCCCCCAAACATGATCCCCAATGGCAACTATGAAAGTGAGTACATTTTCCCTCACTAAAAAAGAACCAATTCTATCATTGAAGTACGTCGGAAGTGGAAGCTGGTGCATTATTTCAGCTTCAACATCCATAGCTAGAAGATAACCACCAGCATTAATTGCCCTATAAGTCCAATAAAGATATCCTCCAGCAAATAGTGCAGGCTTAATGAAAAGCGGATTAGTGTTTGGAATAGGTTTAGTATCAATCAGCCTCCACGCAATTTCAGCACCCACAGTTAATATTGCACACTTATATTGATGGTTGTTAACAAAAAAGAGATGGACAACTTTGTATCTCCTAATAGAAGGATCGTATACTAAAACAGAAGAAGACTTGTAATATAAAATAGGTTCTAGAAATGGAGGGAGGGTAAGTAAATGCTTGGTAATAAGATTTGCAACACAGAATAGAAGTTTATTCTTGTGGTAACGAAACAAAACTAAGCCATCACAACTAGAAAGAATATGGGTAGAGAATCCATATCTTAATTTTCTTAACCTAACATTGCTATTGTTAGTCTCCGCTATATAGATCACTTTTCGACAGATCACTCTTCGTTGCTTATGATGTTGCATGAGGAGGAGTTTCGTTGATCTTTGAAGGTGTGCATTAATGAAATGGGGGTTGTTGATAATATTATACCACTCTCGGCAAACATATTTCATCACATTGAACAGAATCTCGGCAGGAAGTAAAACCAAGATGTTGAATATGATCCCGTGAGGAAGATGAGGAAGACAAGGTGTGTTGCTTACCCTCTGTAAGTGCAAAATTTCTCTCAACCAATAATGATTGAGAAAAATAAAACAACTCACTCAAAAAACAATAAAAATAAATAAGAACAGTGTATAGAGAAGCGTAAATTGCTTGATCCTTTTATTGGAGGTCTGAGCCCCTATTTATACACAAAAGGGTGGTCGAATTAAGGTAGGACTCGCATTGCTTGTCCTCCAATTCTTCCTATACAGAGTTTCTTTACAAATAGAGCTTTCCCTTTATATAACTTTCTATACGTATTACTTGCCTTGTACAGAACTTCCTATCATAGAATTCTCCTTTTATAACAAATCCTTCTACTGATAGGATTTGTTCACTCTTGGATAACTGGGCTGAATGTACCTTGAACCGGTTGGGCTTGACCAACGGGCTAGATGTTTAGCACGTTGGACTGATAATCTCTTAATTTGTGCTTTAATGGGATTAAAGACCAAATAACATTAGTATCGGGCTTATGAACAGTGATCTTGGACTGGCAGCGTTCTTAATTTGGGTTTGAGCGAAGTGGGCTTTATAAACTTCCCAATGATAAGTTTATATTTATGATGACTTGGATTAGTCTTATTGGAGGGAGATTTTTTCCCTCCACACTTTGCCCCCAATTCCTTATTTAATTGGATTGCGATTCCTATTAAAAAGGGAATTAAAGTGCATGGTTGTCTATTTTGCAAAAGATGGTCCGAAGATTGCCCATTGCTATTCTGCCTTAAGAGATTCCATAAGGGTTACTTTTGCTCTCACTGCGTTTCTTACGTTTTTCAGTCCGTCGTCTTCGTCAGGTTAGTTCTTCGTCTTCTTCTTTTTTGATCTTTCATCATGAGCACTTCGACTATTCCTGAACACATAGAAATCATGGATTCTGAATCTACGCCTTCGTCATCCCCTACACTTATTAGAGTTCCTTCCCTTAAGGTTCCCAATCTCACTGGTTCTGTAGACGATCTGATAAATGAATCAAATATCCCTCTTCCTCAAGTCGAAACATCCACTTTTAGGTCAGATTGTACCTTTACTAAGGAAGAGAGAGAGATAATTTTGTCTGTTCGGCGTATTACTTTCTCTATTGAATCCACAATGGAAGACTTCGAAATTCCCGAGGGGGTTGAGATCGTAGAATACCCCGAGGGTGCTGACTTTTGTGCCGGCGAGGGCGTCGGAGATGACGAGTTGCTCCTCTCAGTTGGGCATCTCAACGCTCTTCGGTTCCCCCTTCACCCTTTTTATCATTCAGTTTTCATTGAGTTAGGTATTTCGCCCTTTCAAGTAAACCCTAACTTTTTTCGAATAATCTCAGCGCTCCTTGTTTGCCGAAGGTTGGAGAGTTTTGACCTGACTCTCGCTGACTTGCTAATTAGAGAAAGACCTTGACAATGATGAGAAGAAAACTTCAAACGCTTCCCTGAAGGCGAAGATTGCTTCTGAGGCAAGGGATGTTTACAAGAAGCGCTTGGCTGAGTCTGCAGCTAAGGTGGAGACGTTGTAGGTTGAAGTCCAGCGCTTAACCGAGTCAATCAAAACTTGTGTCATTGCTGGGAGACAGTTGCAAAGCCGTTACTCCACTTTGGTGTGCTTGTCGAGCCCAAAAGCTTACCGGTCTGGCTTCAATCAAGGCTCAGGCCCCAAAATAATGGATCTCGATGCCTTTGATTCAAACATGGGGGTGTCCTTCCTTTACGATGAGGGTCCGAAGGCTCAAAAGGCTGAGGTGCTTTTTACTGAGATAGTGAGGGCTCACCCAGAAGATCCTTCAAGCTTATCAACTCCTGCAGCTCCTGATCCTTCAATTCCTCCAACTTCAAGCCTTACTGTAGTGTATGCTTTTGATTCTGCTCCATTTGATCCGAAGTAAAATCTTGTAATTTAATTCTTCGTAATGGAACGATATTTTTGTGATAATATAACTTTGTTTTTCAGGCTAAGATGCCTTAACTTTATTTTTCTGAATATTCATGAATGCCTTCAATATTGCATACATTTTGCTGCTGAATGGTAATATTTTGAAGTATATTACCCTGTTTGAGGTTTCCTCATTTGTTGTAATCTTAACGCGAGGGCTTGCGAAGGTAGTATCTATAAAGTATTTTCCTCGGTATTGAACTTGTGGAGAAAAATGCTGATCCAGACACTTAGGGTCCAAAGCGAATCATCCCTCGGCGCTGAGCCTGAGGAGAAAAATGCTGAGACGGACACTTAAGGTCCAAAGCGAATCATCCCTTGGCGCTGAGCCTGAGGAGAAAAATGCTGAGACGGACACTTAAGGTCCGAAGCGAATTGTTCCTCGGCATTGAGCCTTAAAGGAAGTTTGCTGAACTGGACACTTAGGGTCCGAAGCAAATTGTTCCTCGGCGTTGAGCCTTAGAGGAAGTTTGTTGAGCTGGACACTTAGGGTCCGAAGTGATTTGTTCCTCGGAGCTGAGCCTGAGAAGAAATATGTTGAACCAGACACTTAGGGTCCGAAGTGAATTGTTCCTCGGCGTTGACCCTTAGAGGAAATTTGTTGAGCTGGACACTTAGGGTCCGAAGCGAATTGTTCCTCTGTGACGAGCCTTAGAGGAAGTTTGCTGAACTGGACACTTAGGATCCGAAGCGAATTGTTCCTCAGCGTTGAGCCTTAAAGGAAGTTTGCTGAGCTGGACACTTAGGGTCTGAAGTGATTTGTTCCTCGGCGCTGAGCCTTAGAGGAAGTTTGTTGAGCTGGACACTTAGGGTCCGAAGCGATTTGTTCCTCGACGCTGAGCCTGAGAGGAAATATGTTGAACCGGATACTTAGGGTCAGAAGAGAATTATTCCTCGGCGCTGAGCCTTAGGGAAAATCGGCTGAATCGGACACTTAGGGTCCGAAGCGAAGTATTCCTCGGCGCTGAGCCTTAGAGGAAATATGCTAAACCGGACACTTAGGATCCGAAGCGAATCGTTCCTCGGTGCTGAGCCTTAGAGGAATTTCATGAATAATTTTCAATAGGCAAGGCTGAGGATTCAAAAATGATAGGAAGCCACGAAAAAGAGTAACAGTGGCTGGGAAGTCTCCCATTCGTTAGTTTGGGAGACTATCTTCCACTGAAACTCTCTTCGTGGCGTCTGGATGTGTTGAATCATGTGTATATCAATTGCGCATTCTTTTCATTTCTAGTCGATGTGAGACAATAGTAAAAATGAATTGTTGTAAAACATCAATTACTACTAAGAAGAGACTTCAAAAAACAACCATAGAGATTTGTTTTGTCGCTTTATCTATTTTATCTCTGTTTTTTTTTTTTTTTTTTTGTTTCATAAAAATAAATTTGTTGTTCAAAAAAGGAATTTGTTGTTCAAAAATCTGTCTGTAGGGTACTGGTATTGCCCCCTTTTTATGAAAAGAAAGAAATAGATGTAGCGAAATTGCCTCCCACACCGAATATGATAAAAACATTTCATACTTGAAATAGAGGGTTTAAAACTGAATTATTGGCTATAAGCAGCCTTATTTGCATAAAGAAAGTCTTGCAGAATTAACAAATTTCATAATAAAAGTACCTTTTTAAGGTGTATCGCATTCCAAGGACATGCGATTGGACGTCCATCAGCTTCGGCTAACCGGTATGCTCCCTTCCTTACCATTTCTATGATTATGTAGGGTCTAGTCCAATTAGGAAACACTTTCTCAAGGCTTGTTCTCCACTGTCACGAGGGTGGCATGTTGTGCTTGATGGGCTACCTTCTCCTCAAGCCGGATGTAAATCTGCGCCTTAGCATTGAAAGTCTGCATATCTGGAGGGGAATATTTGACTAGGGAGGTAATTTTCATATAATTTTATGCATCGGCACTCTTTGTGCTTTGGAGGAGTTTACATGAAAATTTAACCTTTGACGTATTTAAGTTCGAGGTAATTTTTAATCGGCACTGTTTTGTACCTTAGAGATTTTTTTCATGAAAATTTAACCTTCGACGTATTGAGGTAATTTTCATGAAATTTTATTCCTCGTTGGAGCTCATTATGCGTTAGAGAAAGTTTGAAGTCCTCGGACTCTTGAGATCCGAAGATAAATTTTCTTCCTCGGCATCTCTGTGTGCCTTAGAGGAAGTTTGAAATCCTTGGACTCTTGAGGTCCGAGAATGAATTTTATTCCTCTTTGCAGCTCGTTATGCTTTAGAGGAATTTTGAAATCTGCAGACTCTTGAGGTCCAAAGATGAACTTTATTCCTCGGCAGCTCTGTGTGCCTTAGAGGAAATTTGAAGTTCTCGGACTCTTGAGGTCCGAAGATGAATTTTCTTCCTCAGCAGCTCGTTATGCCTTAGAGGAATTTTGAAATCTGAGGACTCTTGAGGTCCGA